TAAGATAACTATGAAATACAAATGATAGATAAAAACTTAACTAGAAAAAAAGCATAAATGGTAAGATCAAGATCAAGATGACTATTTCTGGTATTGTGGCACATTGTGTAAAAGCTGCCACCTGTAACCCTGGCATCCCATGTGGTGCTGGATTCTCCAAATGTTCTACTTCCAGTCCAGCTCTCTGCAAAATGGGCCTGGGAAAGCAGCAGAACAAAACTCAAGTACTTGGATACCTATCACCTACATGGGAAACCTACATGAAGTTCCATGGGTTACTGCTTTAGGCCATCGTGGCCACTGAGGAGTGAACCAGCAGATGGAAGATCTCTCCTCTGTCTCTGTTATCTCTGCCTTTCAAATAAAATAAATAAATCTTAAAAAAATAAAAAAAAGATCAAGCTGACTGATCATTCTCTTCTCTAACTCTCACTCCCTTCATCAGCTAGGTGCAATCTCTGACCAGCTGAACAATGCTATTCAAAGCACTGGAGGGGCCGGACCTGTGGCACAGAAGGCTAAGCCTCCAAATGCACTGCTGGCATCCTATATGGGTGCCAGTTCGAAACCTGGCAGCTCTGCTTCCGATTTGGCTCCCTGCTAATGCATCTGGGAAAGCAGCAGAAGATATTTGGGGCCCTGCACCCCCATGGCGACCAGCAAGAAGCTCCTGCTCCTGGCTTCAGACTGGCACAGCCCTTGCCATTGCAGCCATTTGCAGGGTGAACCAGCAGGTGAACAAATAACTTTTTTTTTTTTTTTTTTTGACAGGCAGAGTGGACAGTGAGAGAGAGAGACAGAGAGAAAGGTCTTCCTTTGCCGTTGGTCCACCCTCCAATGGCCGTCACAGCTGGCGCGCTGCAGCCGGCGCACCGCACTGATCCGAAGCCAGGAGCCAGGTGCTTCTCCTGGTCTCCCATGGGGTGCAGGGCCCAAGGACTTGGGCCATCCTCCACTGCCTTCCCGGGCCACAGCAGAGAGCTGGCCTGGAAGAGGGGCAACAGGGAAAGAATCCGGCACCCTGACTGGGACTAGAACCGGGTGTGCCGGCGCCGCTAGGTGAAGGATTAGCCTATTGAGCCGTGGCGCCAGCCACAAATAACTCTTAAAAAAAAAAAATCTGTGGAATGGACTGACACAGGAAGGGAGGAAAGATGTAAGAGAAAGAAGAAAGGTAATAACCATAGATGAAAGTAGGGACAGGCATTTGGTGCCAAAATTAAGACACCACTTGGAACATCTACATTCCAAATCAGAGTGGCAGGTTTAAGTCCTGGCTCTTCTGTTTCTGATCCAGCTTTCTGCTAATGCACACCCTGGAAGACAGCAGATAATGATCCAAGTACTTGGTTCCCTGCAAACTATGTGGAAGGTGTGCACTGAGTTATGTGCTCCTGGCTTCAGCCTCCCTAAGACTTGGCTGTTGCAGATATTCATGGAATGAATCAGTGAACCAGTAGCTGGAAGATTCTCTCTCCGCCTACTACATCTCTCTCTTACTTTGTCTCTCTGCCTTTTAAATAAAATGACAAAAAATAAAATTTAAATATATAAATATGCATACATATAGTTATTTTCTAACTTTATTCTATATAAGGATAGCACTAAAAAAATCAGCTTAGTTGTGCACCATAAATTCTAATTGATTAGCATTATGATGGTCCAAAGTCTACATTTCAACAACAACAACAACAAAAAAAAAACCCAAATGATCCTGATACAAGTAATCTTGGGACTCCAGAGAATCATTAAGATTTTTTTCAAAGAATTCAAGATTCCAGGCTGAAGTCAGGAGCCAGGTGCTTCACTTGGGACTCAAACCAGTGCCCATATGGGATGCCAGCACTGGAGACAGCAGCTTAGCCCTCTACACCACAAGGCCAGCTCCCAAAGCACTATTTCCAAAGTTGGTACCACACAGTATGCTATGATGCCATAAAAATGTCTCGAAGATTCTGCTCTTTGATAAAGTTAAGTCAAGAAAAAAAATAAAGAAAAGTTTCTAAATGGTATGATACTTTGGATTTTCATAATGCCTTTGAATTTTCTCAAGTTAGAAAATAATCATACAGCATTTCAAAAATTACTAGCCATAAAATCCTTTCTTGTTTGACCCAACAGTATCTACAAAAAGTCTAAAACTTTTAATCAAGAAAACTAGAGAAAAAGAATAAGATGAAAGGAAATGGACTAAGAAAATTTAAAAGCTTTATTATAAGTCTAGTATAGAAAAGCAGACAGATAAAGGAGAAAAAGTAGAAGATCCTTTAAGCTATTTAAATGTCTTCTTTTATCTAAAGTATCACATAAATATTACTATAATATATATAACCTTCTTCTACATGATAACTCCAAAGTTATGAATGATTATACTGTTTATAAAGATTTCTTTAAACAATAAAGAAACTGGAAAATTCGTGTTTTGTAAGAAGATAATCTTTGTAGACACAGTCATATGAAGTAATAACAGCTTTTTTCTAAGATCTTAAGAACAGCTATAAATATTAGCATCCAACAGAGAAAATACTTTAGAAACAGAAACTAGAAGGTTTATTTTAAAAAAGAAAATTCTCTCTAGCTCCTTCATAAAACAAGCTTTATTTTGAAGCCTAAAAGTAATGTTTTAAACTAGAATGGTTAGGGAGTGAACCAGAGGATGGAGAATCTCTCTCTCTCTGGGTCTCTCCCCCTCTCTCTGTAACTCTGACTTTCAAATAAATAAATAAATCTAAAGCTAAATAAATTAGAAGGGCTTACAAATGAACCTTCTTGAAGTCAATCTATTTAGAACATCCAAAATAAACTACTTCAATTATAGAGATAACAATTCTTAGATTTGTCTATTAAATTTTATATGAGCCCACAACACAAATGCAATGAAATAATCTAATGAATTCTCTTAGATATGATATTTTTAAGAAATAATGCAGTGGTTACTTCCAGGTGTAAAAAGAAAACATCTCTGATATATAAAGTATTACCTTAAAGAAAAATATAAAAATATAAGAATCTAAAATAAAAGAGGTAACAAAATAAATGATGAGAATTAACTGTAAAAATATACTTGCACCTCCCTCACAAAGAGATAGAGTTTTATTTTTTTTTTAAGATTTATTTATTTATTTGAAAGTCAGAGTTACACAGAGAGAGGAGAGGCAAACAGACAGAGGTCTTCCATCTGATGGTTCACTCCCCAACTGGCCACAACGGCGGAGCTGTGTCAATCTGAAGCCAGGAGCCAGGAGCTTCTTCCAGGTGTCCCATGCAGGTGCAGGCCCAAGGACTTGGGCCATCTTCCACTGCTTTCCCAGGCCATAACAGAGAGCTGGATCAGAAGAGGAGCAGCCAGGACTAGAACCAGTGCCCATATGGGATACCAGAGCCTCAGGCCAGAGCATTAACGCATTGCACCACAGCGCCGGTCCCAGAGTTTTCAAAAGTGTATGCCTTAGCTCAAGGCAGGAACTCACAATCAAATTTTTATTTAAGATAGTCTCAAATTTCTAGATTCCTTGGCATGTGGTAATCACAAACAGAAACCCTTTCTAAAAGAAATTACTTAAACTTTAACTTCAAGGAATTTTCAATGAGAAAAAAAAACTAACAACCCTATATAAAGATTAGCAGAAGACTTTCATACACATTTCCTAGAAGAGAAAATATAACTAACCATATATATATGTGTGTGTGTGTGTGTGTGTGTGTGTAAGTAAATGCTCAAAACTACTACTATTGAAGGAAACAAAAACAAAATGACAATATACTACTAACTATATATCACATTGGAAAGCATTAAAGCATAAAAAAAAAAAAAAAAAAAACACAAGTTCTAAAGGCACAGAAAAATCATCCATTGCTGCTATGTCTAAACTGGTTTGGAATGCAATTGTTACAGTCTAGCAAAACTGAAGCTAGATGCTGTGGGCCTGTAACTCAGCAAACCTTTACCTTGTATGTACCCTAACTCTCTGTCACTATGCTGCAGGTAAAATTTATAATAGTAACTAAAACCAAGTTGTTCAGAACAGAAAAACTAAGGAACAATCTAACTTACCATCAGTAGAATAAAAGAAAAACTAAGTAACAATCTATTTTTTCAAAAGAAAACTATACATTAGTGAAAATAAATGCACTAGTATGAATCTAATCAAAAGGTCACTTAAAAATCCCAAGTTGGGGCCGGCGCTGCGGCTCAATAGGCTAATCCTTCGCCTGTGGCATTGGCACACTGGGTTCTAGTCCCGGTCGGGGCACCAGATTCTGTCCCGGTCGCTCCTCTTCCAGGACAGCTCTCTGCTATGGCCTGGGAGTGCAGTGGAGGATGGCCCAAGTCCTTGGGCCCTGCACCCGCATGGGAGACCAGGAGAAGTACCTGGCTCCTGCCATCAGATCAGCGCGGTGCGCCAGCCGCAGCGGCCATTGGGGTGTGAACCAACAGCAAAAGGAAGACCTTTCTCTCTGTCTCTCTCACTCTCTCACTGTCCACTCTGCCTGTCAAAAAAAAAAAAAAAAAAAATCCCAAGTTGGAGAAGAAAAAGCTTTGAATACATTCATACAAAATACAAAATTGCAAAAGCAAATTATGTATTATTTATGGATACATGGATCTGAACTATAATTATAAAGAAAAAGAGGAGAATGAGAAATAATAAAGTTGAGGAAAGAGGTGGCCCAGGCCTAGACAGATGTAGAGGAGATTTCCAAGGGACTCACAGGGCTTCAAAGACTTTGGGAATGGTCTATCTTTCAAGCGAGGTAGTGACCATGCTGAGTGATCATTATTATTATGCTTTCAACTGAACATGTAAACTACAAACTATTGGGAAAGTATATTTCATAGGATAGAAAAATAAATGCTTAAGAACAAGCAAGGATAATACATGCTTCTTTCTTTGGTTTTTGTTTACCCTTTGTCTTTCTCACCCTCTTAAAGTCCTAGCCTTAGAATTCTTTTTTTTTTTTTTTTTGATTATGATTATGATAAAGAAGGAATAAATTACCGTGTTTCTCATTGGAATCTTCTTGGGCTCTGGTGGCACGTCCTGTGGAACAAATTTCACTGGTTCCTTAATCTGCCTCCTTGATCGTTTGGTCCCATCTGGTAAGGTTTCCATGGCCATGTCTGCTTCCATGTCACTGCTCCCGGCCTGGTCACATTCTGAGCACTGCCTATATAAAGCAAAATAAAAAGGTCTTATACAAAGGTCTTCAGAAACTTCGTGGAAAATGTGTATATGAACAACTATGTGTGGACTTCAAGAATTTTTTGCACCTAAATATTTTATCTTTTAGTTTCAATTTTCTAAGAACCTTCTGAATGCCTTCATGTTAATTATTGCCTTGTAACTTAAGCTAGTTTCTATAAATATAAAATCTAGATTTTTTATGTGAAGGATACTTAAATATTGGATGCCCGTGATTTAAGCATAGCAAGTTAACAAAATTACTTACAACAAAAAATTACTGTGTCATGGACTACTTAGAAAATTTTTATGTATCTACTGCTAGAGTGATGAAGTATTTTATCCCTTAAATTCATAGATTACCATCAAAATATAAATACAACTAGGGTAGGCACTGCAGCACAGCAACTTGAGTGGGATACTCACACCCCATGTGGGAGTACTGATTGAAGTCCTAGCTACTTCACTTCTAACCCAGCTCTCTAAAAACGCATCCAGGAGGCAGTGGATGATGGCTCAAGAACTGGAGTTCCTGCCACCCACATTGGAGATCCGGATGCAGTTTCTGGCTCCTAGCTTTGGCCTAGCCTGGTCCACACTATTGTGGCCATTTGGGGAGCAAGCCAATAAATGGAAATCAATAAATAAATCTTAAAAAAAAAAAGAAAGAAAACTAAACTGTTTCTGTATTTGTCTCATATGAAATCATCAAACAGAATTAAGTAAATACAATACAGGACCTCAGAATTAAAATGATTATTACATTTTGAAATTGTAAACAGAACTAAATTGTATAACCCTAGAAATTTAGATATAGATATTATCAAATTATATCACAAAAAAGGGTCAGTTGCCTGGCTTTACAGCATTAAAATATGTAATCAATACTAACTGACCATTGCTATCAGTTAAGTGAAATGTGGCCAGGGTTTCTCAAAAAGTTCAAATCCACTTTTAACTTACAGGAATTTGTCAGGTATAGAAACAAGTACCTTCTGAAGAATTTTTTTGTTTTTAAAAAAGCAGAAATATTTCTCCTTTTGTTTCTCTTTTTGTAGTTATTATCTTTATCAAAACAATTTACATTTTATGTTCATTCATACGACCACTAAAACTCATGTATTTATATGACAAAGAAACTTGCTCTGGAGCAGTAAAATAATAGAAATGTTATGCTCTGAACACCACAAAACACTGAATGACTCAGAAAATTTTAAAAAAATGTAACTTTCAAGGCAGAATTTATTCATTTCTACTTCAAGATATCTTGCCACATGATTCCTGCAGTACATTAAAGTCTACAGGAGGACATATTATTATTTCCTCTTTTTCATCAATAATTAAGCAGTGTAGCCTCCATCTTAGAAAATTCTGTAAGGTATGTAAAAGCATCTGCGTCACATGAATCAGCAGACAAGATACTAGGTAATAATTATCCAAGATAAGGCTAAGGCCTGTTCATTTAATAGAATCAAATACTATTTTGGGAGAAAGTCATGATTATTTTTCATGTCAGAAGACATACCTGGCTTCTTTTAGTAATTCACTAACTTGTTCTTATCAATGATAATCCTATATATTTTTACTTAACACACTACTAAGAAGATTGTTGTAACCCACTTGGGTAATTTTTTAGTTGTACTGCGATGGACAGGAAGAAAATATGGCAAATGGAGAAAAATCTCTTGGTTTTTCAGCAAGAAGGTTGTAATTTTGATACTAAAACCGTACATCTGAAACATGAAATTTGTTCCCTTTACATAATTTAAGAAAAAAATATTTCCACATTAAAAAAATTCTAATTTCATATAAATCCTTCACATAAGTTTTCCTTATTTAAAATTGAAAAAGCTATTTTAATTGCTTATTTTGCATATTAATCTTTAATATTTTGCATGAGTATTATTTGAGAAAAACAAGAAATTCACAACACTTACTCATTATTCACTGAACATCCTTGCTATACAGCCTGAGAAAGTCAGTTATCTCTGATATTTGTTTCTACAGTAGCTGTTGCATACCATCTGCTCTGATGATGATGATGATGATGAAGCCCCTGTCATTATACTAGTCCTTTCTGTCTCAATGACCTCCACAGACTACTTCTGTTTCACTCAAACATCTGAGTTTGTCTAATATAAACTCACTCAACTTCTGAGCCACCATCTACCAATACTTACTTCTGGTTCTTAATCTCTTATTTTTTTCACATGTCTTAAATGTGCCCAACAGAAGCCCACAGAACTACGGTGGGAATAGGCTGAACTGAAAGTATCCTAATCTAGAACTAGAATCTCCATGAAAACATTGCTGATACTGGAAGAAGTTTCTGGTGTTGAGGAAAAAAAGCAAGCACAATATGGTATCATAGAAATAAGGCAACAGGTTACCTGGTAATTCTAGCTAAAGTTAGCATAAGGGGAGTTAGTAGTAAAGGAATTAATACAAGCTTATAGGGCCAGCAAAAACAGATTGGTGACATTAATAAAAGTTTACTACTGGGATTGGCAGAAGTTTAAACCAACTTGTTAAGTCCTAGTGACCAAACAGGGGTTGAGTGACAGGATGTTTTTTCTACTAAAGGATTAGCAACAACTAGGTAGGAACTAAAGCAGAAGTCAGTCAGTGATGTGCTGGTAAATGTCTAACATCTGGCTTTCTGGAGGAAAAGCCGTATTTGTAGCATTTGTCAATTTCCATGGTATGAACACTCTCAATTATAGTAATTGCAAACTAACAAAATGGTGTCATAGAATGTGGAGTAGGGAAAAGATATATACTAACCACCATTCTACAATATAAATATAAAGGCTCTTCTAAAAGTCCATGGAGGCCAGCGCTGCAGCTCAATAGGCTAATCCTCCGTCTGCAGCGCCGGCACACTGGGTTCTAGTCCCAGTCGGGGCGCCGGATTCTGTCCTGGTTGCCCCTCTTCCAGGCCAGCTCTCTGCTGTGGCCCAGGAGTGCAGTGGAGGATGGCCCAAGTGCTTGGGCCCTGCACCCGCAAGGGAGACCAGGAGAAACACCTGGCTCCTGGCTACGGATCAGCATGATGGGCCAGCCACAGCGCCCAGGCCACAGCGCGCCAGCCGCGCTGGCCATTGGAGGGTGAACCAACAGCAAAAGGAAGACCTTTCTCTCTGTCTCTCTCTCACTGCCCACTCTGCCTGTCCAAAAAAAAAAAAAAAAAAAAAAAAAAAGTCCATGGAAAATTTAATAAAATGTTTACTTTGGTGAAAAATTTTGAAATCCAGGCAAATATTTTTCATCATTTGCATTTTTCTTGAACATTCTAAAGATCCCTCATATGCATGCATTTCAAAAACTTTTTGTACCCTAATAAACTTATCCTTCAATTCCATTTTCACAAATTTTTGAAGTACTCTCATAATAGGTTTAAGAGTACAGATAACAATAAAATGTAATAAAACATTTAGAAAATGATACATTTATGTATTTATTATCTTTAATACAGCTTTACAAATAAACTGAAAATGTCAAAAGCTGAATAGTAAAAACTGCTTCCCACTTTCCAGGTAAATGAAGGAAAAAATTCTCTAAATTTTGCTCATTCTAAAATTAACACACAATTGTTAATCAAAGCTAAGTTGATTTTAGAGGCCAAAAGAAATCTGATCACTAAAAACTGGAAGAAACTGAAGACTTCACTGTTCCATTATTTGTTTCTACTTTTACTAAATACCACTATATCTAATAAACCAGTTCTTAGTGGTTTAAGCACCTTGGGCTATGCACCTTCATTTGAAGTTCTCTCAGAAATTCACACACTGGAAACCAGAGCTTTGTAGGCAAAGCAGTATTAGGAAGGTCCATCACCTCATTTAAGTACAGAACTACACACACACCTTCATGTCCAACCTCACAACAAAGCACTCTGACCCTGGAGACTAGCCAACTACCTTCCAACTTGAAACTCACCCGGATGTTAATCAACATGGCTGGCATTCTGACACACTGCTTCAATTTCTTTCTAAATTCTATAAGCTTCTAAAGAACATAAATACCAAAAGAAATACCCTCCATTATATTTATAAAAGCAAGCCAGTCTGAATATATAAGACAGATTGATAAAGGAACATGATGAGAAAGCAGTGCTGTGAAAATGGTTTTAAAATAAAAAGCCAGTTTTCTCATAATATAATGAGAGGTATCAATAAGGTCAGAAACATGCTTAACCTCTTTGAGGGACACACACATTCTTTTGTATCAGATTACCAATGAAGTATATGAGGTTCTCTCTTTTTTAAGACATGAAAGGTTATTTGTATGAAAATAATATTCACATTCATCTCAATATTTTCCATTTCCTATATTCTCCTTCCTATAAGGAATCAGTCTATTAAAAAAAGTTGAACATCCGCATCTCCCACTGACTGAAATTGATGAAGGGATAAAATTATAGACACCATAAGCTTTTATCAAACAGCTACAATGCTTCAAAATGCCTAAATTAACAAAATAATTTAGAAATGTCTCTAGATTTACAAAGAATAGTTGGATTTAAATATGTCTAACACAAATGACAAATACCAGAGCTAAAGTATTCAGTGACATTAATTCAGAAATAAAATATTAAATCACCAGTGTAAGTATGACTACTGAGGCAGTTGTCGATAAATACATTTGATATTGAAACAAAAATAAAGCATTTAAGAAATTCCAATAAAACAAACAAGAATTATAAATGCACTAGAAGAAATTATATGTTAAGTAGGAATCCCTTGCTAAGACATCAAAACAGTCATAATTATTTGAAAACTCACTTTTCAAAGCCTATTCTTTTACCACTATAATAAATACTATGAAAATCTCAACCCTAAAATTTACCAGAATTTTACTATGAGTCAATACAAGACTTCATATTGGACAGCTGAAAGTAACAAACAATTCCAGCATCTAAATCCCTCCATTTTCCTTACCAGTAACTGTTTTTTGTCTTCCGTGGCATCCTTGTGAGAGGGGGATCCAGACACCCAAGATGGTAATGCAGTTTACAGGTATCACACAATAAAAGGAGATGCTGATCATGGTTCTTCTTACAGATTCCACAACTTTTAATAAAGGCACCAAATAAGGATTAGAAAAATTATTATCATTTGAAACACAGTTTATTTATAGCACATTTTGTTATTTTAAAATTTCATCTTAACGATATTCTTTGTTGAGATACAAGTTTTATAGCACATATCTTGTTATGGTGTCAGTAAGAGTAAATTTTAAACACTTTTGACAATGTTAAAACATAGCTTGAATCAAATAGACATTTAAATATTACTACAGTCAATATTTCACCAAAGAGTATATATGATCTACTTATTTTCAATATCATCTTTTTTAGTTATCATTTAAAACCCACTTAACATTGGTACAATTTTTCTCTAGAAAAACAGAATATGAGAGAAAAAAACTTCCCAACTTCCTAAAATTTATATAAAACCAGAAAAAAAAAGTTAAGGTACTTCATAAACAAAATTCAGTTTATTTCCATGATTAACTATAAACCTTTTAAAAGAAGTTTTCAACACATAAATCAGCTACACATATAAGTAAGACTCTCTTCCAAAATCACAATTTCATTTTTAATAATACACTGATATTTATTGCAGACTGGGGAATTACTCATATTTTGGTTTTTCTGGTTTGTTTTTAATAAATCATAAAAAAGGCAGCTTAAATTCTCTTCAGAACATAAGCACCATGACCTGAAAATCTGTTAAGTATTTATATTAGGAATGTAAGGCATGAGAAAAAGGTGGTTGAGAACAGTTAACCATGCATGACTAGAAAGAACAATGTTGTTTGAAATTTTAAAATATTCCTAGAAAAGAACATCACATGCAAAGAAGCCAAAACACCCTAAAATAACCAGTGCTTGATCTCAAAATGAAAAAGAAAAATTACTTAAAATATATTCTTGCAGAAAAGTTAGGAAGCCTAAGAATACAACTGATAGTTCCAAATGAACCAATTATGGTTAGAAAAGCTGAAATAAGAACATGTTAATGTTCACATTATACACTAAGATAACAGTGAGCTTTTCTCATACCTCCCCAAAAGGATGTTATTAGATGTTACTCATGGAAAGAGCCCCAACAAAAAAACAAAAGATAGGTATGGAGAATAATATTGTTGCTATCACTACCATTTCTAAGAAAAAAAAAATTCTGAGAAGAACATTTATCTATTTACACAGGTATGTGTAATACATGCACATACACCTCTGTACCTAAGTGTGTATATGTGTGTGTATATACATACATATATGTATATATGAGCACACATAAATACACCTACATAACCTACATAATATATGTATACATACACAAGCGCACACACACACACACACACACACATCCCAAAGTTTAAACTCTTCTCAAGCAATATAAGTTACATGAAAAATAGTAAGATCCTAACCTGTTCAGACATAGAAAAATACCTTAACTATATAAAATTACTATAGTAGTATACACTGCAAAAATATTGAGCAAAGAAACAACAAAAATATTTCTGGAGACAAAATTACTGCAATTGAGCATAACAGAACAAAGTGCAGACAGATTGAAATCAAAAACTTATCTTCATCGTCCACTCCCAACAAAGGCAACAGAATCAAAGTATATATATGATATCCATCGCCACCTAAGAACACCAAGAAAACTCTACAATCTATTCAACTAAAATCAGATTTAGATATTTATCTGTTCTATTGTTCAATTAATAATGATTGTATTATTTAAAGTAATTTTCCAGTTCACAAGGAACACTGCTCCTTTTCATGGAGCTTGTATCTTCCCAGTTACTTGACAGAGTAGAAATGCATTTAACTTAAATTCTGGTATGGACATAATTCATTCTCTATCTTCTTCCTAGTAAGTATTAGTTTAAAAAAAGCAAAGTATTATTCTATCATAATATCATTACTTGCCTATAGAGTACTGCAGGAAGAGTAGATGTCTTTTGTGTGCCTCCTTCTTTTTTACTGGGTTTTCTTTCCTTGGGTGCTCGCAAAATTGCCGGTATGTTCAACTTCTATTGATTTGAACAAATGCAGTATATATTGTTGTAAGGAAGAGAAAGCAAACATTTCTTCTATTTGTCACTAGAGCCAACTAATGTGCTAGGATTGGCGGGGGAGAGGAGGGACCTGCTTTACTCGCTATTACACTGGTAAAAAGGATCAAAATGACTTTTTGTCTAATAGTTACTTTCATTAGAAACCTATTATTACATACTTTAACCAGTTTTCAGTGGTACACTGAAACACTAAAAAAATTAAACTTCTATTTTAGCTTTAAAATCTGAGAGATGAGGACAAGCGTGCAGAGGATTTAAGAAAATAATAGTGCACTTGACAAAAAGAATATTGAGGCCGTTTATTTTCCTCAACAACCCAGCTATTTTGGTGCTCCATAGGTTAATTAGAAAAATTATCTTATTGGACCAAACTCTCCAGCAAAGTAGATGAGATTCTCTTTGGGTTTCTACTAATCTGTAGTGTACTAGCTTCTGAGACAGCAACCATCTATCAAAGTCATTTCTTAGTGGCCCGGTGGGCCTACATCTGTTCAACTAACTGAAAAAAATGTCATGAAAATGATACAAATAAATACTACTTCTGCTGTGTATTTTACATTTGCACAAGGAAATTTGCAAGTCTTTGTTAAAAGTGATCAAATAAATGAAAATGTATTTTATAGTAGATCAGGTTTTACACTACATAGGAGGCTCTTATGAGACAAACTTGCATTTCAAAACAAAAGATAATACAAGCTTGGCAAATAAATTAAAGCCTTATATTCAACATTAACTTCTCCAAAAATTATATGTAAAACATCACAAACTTCCAAAAATCCATCAATAACCTATCAATGGGAACAAAGGCCAATTCTTCCACAGGTGAATACTCATTGTCACCTTTTAAAATAAATTATTCTTTATAACACAAGCCACATATACCCTGTTCACAAAAGAAGCATCTTCAGAGCTAGCATAACATAGTACACATCAGAACATATTATTTCTTAAAGTACTTTAGCTATATGAATTTGTTATGAATTTAACTCTTTGTAAACCTCTGAAACAAGTACAGTGGAAAGTATCTGTCCTTTGAATGGCCTCCTTCACAGAGAAAATTAATTGCTTAGTGAAAGGACCACAAACTAGCTGTCTCATTCATAAGAAATATGACTGAAAGTATTCAAAAAAAATCTTATCAATTATGTACACTAAATTCTACTTTGCAATGATTCTTCTTTGCAACACCAAGAACTTAACAATTTATAGAAGTTCAAGGATAGAGTCTTCTTTTTTCATAGTTATAACAAATAGCTACTGTTGAAGGAGTAAAATGATCCTTCAATATTGAAAGTTTCAAAAATCATCTCATACACATATCAAAAGTAAATTAACATGAAAATGAATCTCTCTAGTTTGTAAATTTAAATTTTATATCCAAATTTTTGAATGAGAACGAAGTATACCACAAAAACAGGAAAGAAAAAAAAGTGGCAAAAAATCTAAAACTATTACATTAAAGGAAATAAGTAGCTCATGCTTCAAATCTTAGTTTCATCACAAATGACAAGTCAATCAGTTGGAGCAAATGAAATTTTTTGCAAACAAGATATCTTCTGAAACAACCAAATTAAGCTGTAGGTTCTTAGTAGGTGGCTTCTAATGCTCTAGACAAATTTCAGGCAGAAAACATTATTCCAGAGGATTAGGCCCTGATCAAACAGAATTTCTCAGTTAGCAAAGTGGCAGTTTATCAGAAAACTGATCTTTGAAAATCAAAGAGAGCAAGAATTTAAGAAAGAGATAGCAACTACAAGAAAACTAACCTGCCCTGTGATTCTGCCTAGTAAGGCCCATATTCCTTGTCCTTCACTGCGAAGTTTTCCATTCAGGTTTTGTAGTTCTTCTAAGGATTCACATAGCTGCAAAGTGAATAAATGAAATTAATAAACTTTATTAAGATGGATGAAGAATAATTTATTAATAAATATCTAGAGTATCTACATGTAAATTCCATATATTTTTAATATAGTTGAGTCAAAATATCACCAGGAGACAAGATATCCAATTATTTAGCAGCATCAACAAAGTGTAAATTTTGCTTCATGCTAGTATTTTTACTAACAATGATACCTAGATTTATGTTCCATTATAATTTGCTATATAATTTCACACATTCTATAATTAACTATTCTCAAGATGCATTTCCACCCTTTTCTCAATGAGAAAACAAAGGATCATACTGTTTCTATGAGTCAGCCAAACTCACACAACTAGCAAGAATCCCTAGGTCACCTGAATCTAACCCTGGGACTCTTTATTACAGTGTAGCTGGTTATTAGAAACTCACTTCTTATCAATTTTTATCATTTAAAATGTTTTCTACAAAAAAATCTATACTAGTTTAATACATCCATGTTACACTGACATTATAGCCACATCTTGCTTTTTCAAGTACACTGTATTTCTGTCAGATCTCCCTTAAAAGAGCAATCTAATTCTTCATTAGAATGAAGAGGTACATGAAAATGTAAGAAATTATTTTTAATCAAAAGAAACATTATAATACAATTCAACATAAAAACTTTTTAAAACCCAGTTTCAAAATTTTCTACAAATTTAGAGAAATTTTACAGTGTTATGTATTGGTTAGGAAAAAGAAAATATGTTAGGTAGGTTAGTCTCAAACCAACCTGGACAAATTACTTAATCTCTTTAGGACTCAGTTTCCTCTTCTGAAAATGGGAATAATACTTCTACTCTACACTATAAAGTTAAAACAGGGATTAATGAGTTAACACATGTAAAGAGAATAGAATTAAACTTGGCACACTGAAAAAATGTTCAGTAAGAGATAGTGTAGAGTTGAAATAAAGAACATAAAATCTCTAGAATTTCAAAATAAAACAAACAGAAATGTCATAAAAATCACATAAGAAACAACTGATAAGATTTATTATTTTATGTTGCATGTTTTGTAGCCAACTTACCTTATTGTATTCCACATGAAGCTTTTCTTGTTCATTCTCTAATTTATCCTTTATATTCTTTTGTTCAGCCATATTTTCCTGAATTTGAATCATGCGCATATTTCTCTCTATTTAAATTAAATATCCAGTTTTACTTTAATAGAAAGTAAAAGCTGATACACAAAATACCCAAAGGAAGAAACTAACCATGGAGAGAACCACATGGATAAACCTACATTGTCTAAATACTTTTGAATATATTAAAAAAATACATTAACCTAGTATTTCAAAAAAACCCAACACTTATTAGGAAAATAAAAAATGTTTTTAATGTATGCACTATGGCTAATAAATTTCTAAAAATAAAAGGCATATTAAATATTTTCAGTAGCAAACTATTCTCAGTGAAAATGTACAAGTATCAATGTCTATACTGACCAAAATAATAATTCACAAAATCAGCAGTAAGAGCTGGTTGCTTATGTTTTCTCCTTCCATCCACACTAGAACTAGTATCTGAATTGTCCACTGGAAAGATATCCGTACTGATCCCCATTAGCTCAGCTTTCCGCATCAGTTTACGAATGGCTGAAGCACTGCTGGTGAGGGGTCTGGGCAGTTTTTCCCTGGGAACCCAAGCCTGGGGTCTGGTGGATCGAGCCAGCTCTGCCTTGGCACGATACTGTTGTAGCCGGGCATTGATCCTTGCCTATAAAACAAATTTATGTAAAATTTAAAATAGAACATGTATTCTCCTCGTGACTGTTTTTTCCATCAATAGAGAAAGTAAAGATAGCCAGAATCTCCTATTTTTAAAGCAAGTTATAGGAGTACATTTCAGAAAGTTCAAGGAAAATATGTATTATGTAAAAAACCATACATGGATTTCAATGTATTTTCACACCAAATATTTGGCTTCGGATCGGCACAGCTCCGGCCATTGCGGCCAGTTGGGGCGTGAACTATCGGATGGAAGACCTCTCTCTCTCTGCCTCTCCTCTCTCTGTGTAACTATGACTTTCAAATAATAAAATAAATCTTTAAAAAAAAAATAAAAATAAGCTAGATTTACCCCCTAAGAATAACCTCACTAATTTATGACCAGAGTCAAAAGAAAGTTAATTTGATCAAAATGAGATTTTTCTTCTCAATAACAGGCAATAATCTCCATAGATTTACTCAACGTGCACCACAATACATTTAATGAATGAGCAAACTGACCAACTTCTTTGCATAAATGAACTTCAGAACACACTGAAAACCGGTGTAACCAACATACTACACTGACAAACGACTATATTGTTGACTAGATGAGAATTAATTATTCAGCCACTAACTATACTCACCATTTACCTTAATCTCAATCCTAGGTAATTAACCAAATCCACAATTATATTTCACATGCCATTGGAAAATATACATGATATTTGAAATCAACAATCTTAAAAGAAAAAAAATATGAGTTTTGACAGAATTCTGTACCTGTGCTTCTGGTGATAACTGTTTCTCTCTCTCTTGCAAAGACATTTTACAATAGGATTGTAAAGCCAAGTAGTTCTTTCTCTTCCACTTTCTGTCTAACCTATCTGCATGTTGCTTGCAATAAGCAAAAAATGGATCCGCTATATCCTATATAAAATAAGAGGGAGAAAAAAGAACATTTTTACTCCAAAGGCTGATTATAAACTAACATGAAACAATATTTCTTTTTTTGAAGAATCTCCTAGTATTGGTTACTTGTACAATAAACTATGAAAGTAAATAACACACGTGAGGATAAAGATTACTGCTTTAGAAACCTAATTCTGTGTATATCAACTTTGAATTAATACTATTCTCTTTTAAAGGTCTTTATGGCTTTAAAGATATTAATCAAATCTTATGTATTCTTTGGGCACATCTGTATTCTTTTTTAAATTCACTGCTTAAAGTAAATGGAATTTTTAACAACTTTGAGAAGAAACTATTATTAAACATTTAAAGTCACACAAATATAGATTCACACTGCAAAACAACAATATATTTACAAACTACAAGACTATATAAATGGGGCATTTCAAATTACTAGCAATGCATGGACAGATTCCACCCAGAAAAAATAAGATTAAGAAGGCCAGGTCCTTTTGGTGATCACTGTGGCACAAGAATTAAGTCTCTACTTGGTACTCCATCATCCCTTATTGGAGAGTGTTGGTTGGAATTCCAGCTTTTCTGCTTCTGAACCAGCTCCCTACTAATGTACCCGGGAAGGCAAGAGATAATGGCTCAAGTACTTGGATCCCAACCTCTCACTTGGGAGACCTGGATGGAGTTCCTGGCTCTATCTACATTCAGCCTGGCCCAAACTTGACTGTTGTGGGCATTTGAGGTCTGAACTCACAGATGGAAGATGTCTCCTTCTTTCTTTTTTTTTTGACAGGCAGAGTGGACAGTGAGAGAGAGAGACAGAGAGAGAAAGGTCTTCCTTTGCCGTTGGTTCACCCTCCAATGGCCGCCGCTGCAGCTGGCGCACCACGCTGATCCGATGGCAGGAGCCAGGAGCCAGGTGCTTTTCCTGGTCTCCCATGGGGTGCAGGGCCCAAGCACCTGGGCCATCCTCCACTGCACTCCCTGGCCATAGCAGAGAGCTGGCCTGGAAGAGGGGCAACCGGGACAGAATCCGGCGCCCCAACCGGGACTAGAACCCGGTGTGCCGGCGCCGCAAGGTGGAGGATTAGCCTATTGAGCCACGGCGCCGGCTTTCCTTCTTTCTCTGTTTGTCTCTTGCCTTCTGTCACTGTACCTTTCAAATAAATAAATCTTAAAAAGGGGGGATGGCGTGGGGAGAAGAAGGAAGAAGGCAGAATGAGGGGGGAGATGAGACATTGTCTATTAAAAAAAAAATCAGCTACCACTCTTACTCCTTTTCATAACTCTTAAACTTCAAATGGGAACACAAGTCTGTCCCAGCCAACTTTCATGGCACTAACAGTACATTATGGTACATTTTTCACTCATAGAGAGAGGAATATATATATATATAAAAGATTTTATTACATCAGAAACAGATACAATTTATAAAGATGAAGCCAACAAGTGTAATTTGCAATGTGACTGTTAACAAAATGACAGGTAGTTTTTTTTTATTGCTTATGTAGGTCCAAAGAAAAACAGTTAAGCATCTACATTCCCATTCACAATAACTACCAAAAAATCAAACAACTTAGAATAAATGTAACCAAGGATTCAAAGGTATCTACAACGAGAATTATAAAACATTAGTGAAAGAAATAGAAGACACAAAATAAGGAGCTCTCCCATATTCATGGATAGGAAGAATTAGTATTATCAAAATGTCCATTCTTCCAAAAGCAATTTACAGATTCAATGGAATACTAATCAAAATACTAAAGACATTCTTGTCAGATATAGAAAAAATGATGCCGAAATTCACATGAAAACACAGGAAACCCCAAATAGCTAAAGCAATCTTATACAACAAAACAAAACTGGAGGCATCACAATACCATAATTCAAGACAAACTACAGTGCAATTGTAAACAAAACAGCCTGGAACTGCTACAAAAACAGACGGATGAACCAGTGGAACAGAATAGAAATCTTAGAAATCAACCCATGCATCTACTGTGCACTAACTTCCCATGCAGGACCTCTGTCCTCAAAGAGTTGTATAATGAGAGTTAACAGTAAAACTTGTTCTCAAAGATTTATTTCATTTTAGTGTATTAAGCAGAGGATATTCTTAAGTCTTGTAAGTTTTAGTTATGACTAAGTGTCCAACTCCATTGCTTGTTTTCTCAGATGCTTCCTTAATTAATGGTAAAACTTGTTCTCAATAACTTATTTTCTTTTAATGTACTAAATGGAGGATATTCCTATGTCTCATAAGTTATACTTATATGTAAGTGTTCACAAAAGATGTATTGTTCTTGAGTTCTTCTTTAAAGTTAATTAAGTTTCTCAAAAAAAAAAAAGTAAAATTAACTTTGAAATGCAATGACTTTGAACACCCTTGTCTCAACTGTTGAGGAAAAGTTTTTTTTTCTCTCATGCAAATTGTTGAACTCTTTACTTAGTACAGAGTTGGTCTTTTGTGTATAAAGTTAATTGAAAATAGATCTTAGTGGAAAATGGGGCTGGGAATAAGAGATGGAGGAGGTGGAGAGGTGGGAGTGTGGGTGGGAAGGTAGGTATGGTGGGAAGAATGACTATATTTGGCCGGCGCCGTGGCTCACTTGGCTAATCCTCCACCTGTGGCGGCGGCACCCCGGGTGCGCCAGCCGTAGCGGCTGTTTAGGGGATGAACCAATAGAAGGAAGACCTTTCTCTCTGTCTCTCTCTCTCACTGTCTAACTCTGCCTGTTAAAAAAATAAAAATAAATAAATAAATAATGACTACATTCCTAAAGTTGTATTTATGAAAAACTTAGTTTGTATGCCTTAAATAAAATGTTTCTTTGGGTCGGGGGGAAGTCTAAGTAGCATTACAACTGACAAACTCCATATTTCTTAAAGTTTTAAGCACATCTGGGCCAATATTCAAAAAATAAATTTCAAATTTCTTTTATGATTTATACCTGTAATAGGGCATAATAGCCATGAGATGTTTTACGAACATATTTAACAACAAAAGATTTAAATAAACCTACCTCTTCTGCTGCTGCCTCTGAAAGTAGACCTTCCTTCTGGGCACAGGTCACATGGAAATAGGCTCTGCACATCCCTGCATCACAGCTGATGCAAACTCCAGTTCTAGCAAAGCGAGGGTCTTCACAAAAGCTACACTCCTAGGACAGAATAACAGGAAAACTCAGAACAAAAATATTTTTAGAACAAAGACAGCATGCTCATAAGAAGTATTTTCCAAATATTTAAAAATGCTAAAGAAAATTTTAAAAAGTGAATCAACAGTGTACCAATACAAACATTAACTATAGGTAAGCCAAGAGTTTAAATTGAAAAAGGAATCCTCTATATAGTTGTAATAAACCAAAATCCCACTTACCTGACTGCAACAATAACAATTCAGTGAGGATTTACTACATGTCAGCCACTATAGTAAACACTTAAATTATATTTGCATATGCAATTATTAACATTCACAACCACTATGTTGAAGAGGTACTATAATTATTCCCACTTTACACATGTGAAAATTAACACAGTTAAGAAATCTGTGCTCTCTCTCTCTTTGGATCACACTGATGTTAGATAAATACATAGTTGTAACCAGTTAAGTAAATTTTTTTTACAGGATTCCACATTCAGCCTATAAAAGCCTATTGTTCACACTGCTAATGTGGAGCTCTAGGAACTTCTTATGGCTTTTGAGTGCTGCCTTATTCATAAACTTTCTAATGCTCAAATAGCTCTGCTAAATTTCTTTCGCCTAAAGTTTTTAATAGTCCTTAGTGTCAGGAGTGGAGTCCCAAGACAACATCTGGAAGACCCAGGAACAACAAGCAGTCAGATAAAGGAACCTAGAGGAACTCATTATACTTACTGCTCTCTTGTTTGTAATTGGAGGCTAGAGCTGACTTCCTCTCAGATTTGTGTTCTGAATATTTGAATTTGTGAGCTCTCCACCTTTCAGCATTTCTGGACTGGGACCAGAATGGAATTAGATTCTACAAATTACTGAACTAGTTCCTTAGATAGGTACCATCAGAAAATGGATTCTTCTAAATTTAAGCGGTGTAGTACTCAAAATTCTGGGACATTGGCTAGTTTTCCATACAAAAGTTAGAAGCCCAGGCCATGAGTATTTTTGGAAAAATGGGTGAATTAACCTTTTTTAACTGCAATTTAGAATTACAGTGGCCACAAGTGTCAAAGTGTTAATCTTGACAACATTGTTCACTCATAAAGTACATTTGAAAATCAGAGTAGATGTTCAGTGTAGTGATTAAGAGACCCACATCCCATATCAGAGTGCCTGGGTCTGATTTCCAGCTTCAGATCCTCAAACTTCCTGTCAATGCAGAACCTAGGAGGCAGCAATGATGGCTCAAGTAATTGTGTTGCTGTCACTAAGCCCTGGTCTTTTGTGGGCATCTGGGGAATGAACCAGCTGATATGATCGACCTCTCTCCTTCTCTTCTGTCTCTCTCTCTCTCTCTCTCTCTCTATCTCCCTCTCTCTCTCTTCTCACTGGCTATCTTTCAAGGATCTCAAAGGGGGCCGGTGCTGTGGCACAGCGGGTTAATGACCTGGCCTGAAGCGCCAGCATTCCATAAGGGTGCTGGTTCTAATCCCGGCTACTCCTCTTCTGATCCAGCTCTCTGCTATGGCCTGGGATAGCAGTAGAAGATGGCCCAAGTCCGTGGGCCCCTGCACCTGAGTGGGAGACCTGGAGGAAGCTCCTGGCTCCTGGCTTTGGATCGGCGCAGCTCCAGTCATTGCAGCCATCTGTGGAGTGAACCAGTGAATGGAAGAGCTCTCTCTCTGTCTCTACCTCTCTCTGCAACTCTGTCTTTCAAATAAATAAAATATAAATTAAAAAAAGAAAAGGATCCATGATGCCTGAAAAACAATATACTACTGGTATGCGGCTATGCAGGGGCATCTAAAAGACTAAGCAAATCAAAAAGTCTCTCAAAGACTTCTTACAAAGGAAAACAAAAACCTTAATATTATTTTTTTAAATATCTGAAAGTTCAAGCAGAGCAGCAAAACAAGACACTTTTTTAACATTGTATGATTCTTGCCTTTGCATAACTTCCCAACATGTACATGCCATAAGAATAAACAGGTAGGGGCCAGTGTTGTGGCCCAGCAGATAAAACTCTCACCTGAGATACTGGCATCCCATGTGGGTGGCGATTCTAGTGCCAGCTGCTCCACTTCTGAAACATCTCCCTACCAATGTGAGAGGGAAAGCAGTGTAAGATGGCCCATGTACTTAGGCTCCTGTTACCACATGGGAGATTCAGATGGAGATACAGGCTCCTGACTTCAGCCTGGGCCAGCTCTGGCTATTACAGCCATTCAGGGAGTGAACCAGCAGATGGACGATCTCTCTCTCTCTCTCTTTAAAGATTTATTTATTTATTTGAAAGGCAGAGTTATAGAAAGGCAGAGGCAGACACAGAGAGAAAAAGGGAGGTCTTCGATCTGTTGGTTCACCCCCGAACTGGCCACAATGGCTGCAGCCGGCCAGATCCAAAGCCAGGAGCCTGGAGCTTCTTCCGGGTCTTCCACATGGGTGCAGGGGACTAAGCACTTGGGCCAGCTTCCGCTGCTTTCCCAGGTACATTAGCAGGGAGCTGGACCAGAAGTGGAGCAGCTGAGACTCGAATTGGCACCCATATGGAATACCAGCACTACAGGTGGCAGCTTTACCTGCCACAGTGCCAGGCCAAATAAATAAATCTTTAACAAAAATAAATACAGAATAATTTGATGACAGCTAGCCTTGTTTGGTATTACATATACTTAAAAACAGCTTCCCAGGCCGGCACCACGGCTCAATAGGCTAATCCTCTGCCTGTGGCACCAGCACACGGGGTTCTAGTCCCGGTCGGGGCGCCGGATTCTGTCCAAGTTGCTCCTTTTCCAGGCCAGCTCTCTGCTGTGGCCCAAGAGGGCAGTGAAGGATGGCCCAAGTCCTTGGGCCCTGCACCCGCATGGGAGACCAGGAGAAGCACCTGGCTCCTGGCTTTGGATCAGCGCGGTGCGCCGGCCACAGCGGCCATTGAGGGGTGAACCAAACGGTAAAAGGAAGACCTTTCTCTCTGTCTCTCTCTCTCACTGTCCACTCTGCCTGTCAAAAAAAAAAAAAAACCAGCTTCCCAAAACTCTTTGATACTTTACAGTTTTCCTAAGTTAAATTAAATGTGAATTTACAGATCATATCCATATAAAATAAATACTGAAATATTAATTGCTGAACATAACAGTAGTCAATCTGGGCTTCCTATTACAAGCTAAAGATATTTGGGTCTGTAAATAAACATGTCCTGTGCCATATCAAACAAGTGCACCATGACAAAGCACACGCTCTTAGAAATCATACATAGTGTTGATTGACAGAATGTTGGTGTGTGACAGACAACTCACAATGCTTATGTCTTAGTTTTCACTAGAAATTAGTTATTATGAGCAAAGAATTCTAATTAAATTTAATAATCAAAACTATAAATAATAAGAGTAACAACTTTGAATGCAAGGAAAGTAAGATATGTTTTTGGTAAGTGAAGCTAATAGGTATGAAAGATGTAGTTCTGTAAAGGATGTGTTTTGTTAAAGAAATTAATTTTTGTCCTACAGTGGAATGACCAGCAGTCATCCTACAATGAGAAAGACATAAAATCTAATGGACATAAGAAAACTGTAGATGTGTGGAAGATGAAACTTACAAAAGGAATATTATGTGTGAGCCAAATGGCTAGAATTTGAAAAAAATAATATTAAGTTTTTAATTGAGTATTAATACCCAAATTCACTCATACAAAAATAGAATTTGCTTTTCTCTGTTAAAATGAAAAGATTTTCTTAGAATTCTGTTCTCTCTTTTAATAAGAAATTGTAAAAAGTTTTCTTTTTACCTTTTAACTAATCCACCTGGCAAATAAAGATTTTGTATTTTTCATTTATTTATTGATTTTAGTCAAAAGGCAAGTTACAGAAAGAAACAGATAGACAAAGACTGAGAGAGAGATCTTCTATCTGCTGGTTCACTCCCCTAATGGCCACATCAGTAGGGGCTGGGCCAGGCTGAAACTAGGAGCCAGGACCTTCATCTGGGTCTGCCTCGTATGTGGTAGAGGGCCAAGGACTCAGAGGACATCATCTACAGCTTTCCCAGGAGAATTAGCAGAGTTCTGGATCAGAAGTGGAGCAGCTAGGATGCAAGCTGGTACCCATATGGTACCAGGGCTGCAGGCAGTAGTTTAATCCTCTGTGCCACAGTGCTGGTCCAAAGATTTTGTATTTTATCAAAATAACTCCCTGTGCATAATATTGTTTTTTAACTAGTTTTTGTTTACTTAAGAAAACTGAGTCTTCTCCATTAAAAGAACTAAGGTTTTTCCTTGAACTATGTTAACTTTCAATATTTAGCTATAAAATCTTTTGTCACTTTGTATAATGAAATATTGTTTCAGTGATCCACTGATCTTACTTTATCAAGCTTTTTAAATCTTTTGACATTTTTGATAACTTCCAAAAATCAAATTCTAAATTAAATTGTTTTAACCTGAACAATCTTAGGACTGTCCCAGAGAATTCCCAGAATTTCTCAAAATAATGTTCTTGGTCTTATAAAAAGACAGAGAGAAGACTAATTAGGCTTATTTGATATTTGTTCACCAAATTTCTATATTTCAGTATCAGAATTTCCAATACGCAAAATTCCACAAGTTTCCGCAATGATCTGAATGTTTATGTTCCCTTCAAAATTCGTATGTAGCAACCTAATGCTCAATGTGATAACATGAAGAGGTGGGGCCTTTGGGATACAATTAAGTCACGAGGGCTGTGCCCACATGAACAGGATCAGTGCCCTTATAAAAGAAGTTAAGGAAGCTGTCTTGCCCTTTCTGCCATGTAAGGATATAGCAACAAGGCACTGCCTTCGAAGCAGACACTGAATCTGCTGGTGCCTTGATCTTGAACTTCCTAAGCTCCAAAACTGACAGCATTAAGTGTCGGCTGTTAATAAACTACCCAGCCATTCTGTACAGCAACTTGGAAGCAGTAAGACAGTTTCCCACCCCACCTTTAATAAGTGACTGATGCTATTCAAGGGTCTTTCTTCTCAGTTTCACTACAGACAGTAAAAAAAAAGACAATGTGTCACCACTTAATTAGCTCTAGGTGTTCCAGAGATATTTGCAGTACTTATATACCTAAGTTAACAAATGGGCATTTACAATCTAAGGGCTCAATGAATAAAAACTGACTTATAATAAATAAGGCTGAGAAGCATTTGCTAGGCAGAAGGTTATGTCATCATAAAGATAAAATGAATCCATGAAAGTTGAGTAAAATAAAAGGAGCTTCTTATACTCTTCCATAATTTTGATAAATTCCACTTCAAAAGTAAAATCTGAAATTAGGTTCATATTTAATTCAACTGATTTTAAATAAAGCTTTTGTCTTTGTACTAACCAAGGTGCAAATGGCCATAAAAATGAAAATAGTATCAGCTAAGAATACATGGAAGGGTACCAAGTGTTTAGCCTGGAGATTAAGGTACCCACATCTGGTATCAGAGTACCTAGCTTCATTTCCCAGCTCCAACTCCTGATTCCAGCCTTCCACTAATGCAGATGCTAGGAGGCAGTGCTGATGGTTCAAGTAATCGGGTTCCTGCCACCCTTGTGGGAAACATGGACTGTAGTCCTAGCTCCTGGCTCCAAGCCCCAGCCTAGCCTAACTAAGCCAGGCATTTTGGGAGTGAATCAGTGGCTGGGAGCTCTCCCTCTCTCTCTGTCTGCCTGTCTCTCCAAGAAATAATTTTTAAAAAATATATGGAAGAATTTATTCATTTCTTCTTTTCTAGAAAGATTATCAATTATACATACTTATACTAATAAGCATGTCAGTAATTAACAATGATATAAATGAAAAGCCATGTCAACTAACAAGTGGCAACTTTCTCTTTCAGATGATGACAAGAGATTCTGTCTCACCTTGGCACCATACTTGGAATAGTTCATTTCTGTCAGTGTTACTGGTCGCAATTTGTCAATATCTCCAAAGGCTACTCCAGGAACATAGAGGGCACAAACAATATGCACCCATCTGTAAGGAGAAAAAATATGATTTTGTCATCAAAACCTTTCATGAAATTTCCAAAAAGCTAACTTATAAAACATGTGTTTTCTCAAATTACTACTGAAGGAGTTCTGTGACAAACATTAAAACTTCAATTTCAAACACATAACTAAAGTATACAGAACACCTACAGAATAACATTGAGTAACAGAAAAATGACTGCAATAATCATCATGTTTCCAATAGTTTCCAAAACAGAGTTAACAACTCTAACTGCCTTTCACTTAAAATTCTGTTGCACTTGGCACTGATCCTTATTCTGAAACATTTGCATAAAAATACTTCTCAAAGACAAAAAACATTCTCATAGTCAGGGAAAAGTATTCACATTATTTTAACCCTTTGAGATTTAAGGATCCTAATTTAAGAAGTATGAAGTTACTCTGCAGTAATTAGGAAAAATTGCACATTTTTTGTTAATGTTTTCTAAAACTGTTGAGTAATCCTCAAGAAAATATTTTGAGAGTTTTGGTGTACAGTTTGATTTTCTTTCTTTCCAGGTTAAAACGGACTCCTGGAGGAAGGTACAGAAAAAAGTTATAGTAATATACGAAAGTCATATTTTAATTCATCTGTTTACTATACAACCTATGCACTACAATTTATATGCTTCATGTATATTTTGCTAGGTCTGAATGATGTTGTAAAACTAAACAAAGAGTGCTCAGTTTCAGTACACTGAAGAAAAAGTGAGAGTTGGTCCTCAGTTCATTTCTAAAAACTTATCTGAACCATTCTGAATTTATTAGGTACCTTTTCTGTTTGCTTATAACAAAATAACAGGTGGGATCAACAACTGAAATTTAAACAGATCATTACCATCTCTGCAACAAAAGGAGGAAAAATGAGATGGTAAATGTCTACTAACCTCATGAACATATTAACAGATTCTGCTTTATCACAGTTTAAGAGGCTATGAATGCTACAGGGCTTTGGTTTTTTATGATGCACTGAGTTTTAAAGGACTGCGAATCATTCTATAGAAACACTAGAGAAAATAGTTAACAAATTATCTTTCATACTGAGAAAAAATATTCAGGGTTTTGAGATTTCCTTGATAGAATGTTTTAATCCAACCTTCCAAATGCATCCTGTGGAGTTCAATATAAAGATACACATCTTCAACAAGCAGCTGCTTTCTCAATTTAATTTGCACAGTTTTTTTTCATACTCCATTGATGTATTAAATGTCGGTGTACTCTGTAGGAGTTTATCTTTGATAAACCCAACATCTGGCTGCTTGCTTCATACTGACCTTCTGAAAATGTTTTAGTACAAGTCATACAAGTACAGATTTAAACTGCCATTTCAGTGTGATTGGCACACAAGATATCATTTCCCCCAACCTCTGTCATGAAAACATCATCAACTTGAGTCCTTAATTAAAATACATATCAAAGTCAGTGAAAATCAGAGTTAAGGCACTTTCAGTACATTTTTAAAAAAAGATTATTTATTTATTTTCATCTACTTCAAAGACAGAGTGACAGAGAAAGAAAGACCCATGGAGTCCTGGAGACAGCAGGCCAGGGATGCAGGACCATCCATATGTGTAGGGGGACAGCAGAGCCAGTGCTGACCTGGGATCACCCTCCCTCCCACCACTACCCTGCAGCTCCTTAGAGCAACTGTCCCTGGGCTTTGTGTATGGTCTGAGATGATTTCTCAATGCTGGCAGAAAATGTGTTTTTGCCTTTTCCTCCTCATTTCCTGTGAAGGATGCACAATGTTCACATGGGAATGCGAAGCTGCCTGATTAAAATTTTGATACATTTTTAACAATGAACATTTAGAGTTGGTGGCCAAGTGAAACCAATTAATGGTGTAAATAATTCTTATTAAAAGTATGTGAGGGCCAGCGCTGTCATGTAATGGGTAAAGGCACCACCTGCAGTGCTGGCATCCCATATGGGGATTATGAAGAATCCATCTTCTGACTCCCCAAACACCCTCAAATGTCAGGGCTACAGCCAGGCCAAAGCCAGGATGACAGAACTCCATCCAGGTGTCCCACGTGGGTGGTAGGAGCCCAAGCAACTGAGCCATCATCTGCTGCCTCCCAGGATGCATTAACAGGAAGCTGAATCACACCAATAATGGAATGAGGATATCCTAATTGATGGCTTAACCCACTGCACTACAACACCTGACCTAATGTTAGTTCTGTTTAGCTAGGCATAACTAGCTTTTATTCATAAGTTTAGTGCTACATATTTTAGAATTTGTAAGTAGGACAAATCAGGAAATTTTTAAAAATCTTTGTTATTTTACAATCCATTTTGCTTGACACTGTGATGACAGATAGACTTCAATTGGGGAAAGAAGCAGATATTAAGCATCACACAAAAACACCAACAAAGAACTGCCATTCCAGCAGTTTTGTAATCTATGAATAGATTTTAAAAATTCATTTAGGCATTGGTGCTGTGATGTAACAGATCAAGCCACTGCCTACAGTGCTAGTCCATATGGGTGCCAGTTCGTGTCCCGGCTGCTCCACTTCCCATGCAGCTCTCTATTATATCTTGGGAAAGCAATAGAAGATGGCCCAAGACCTTGGGCCCTGCACCCGTGTGGGAGACCCAGAGGAAGCTCCTGGCTCCTGACTTCGGATCGGCACAGCTCCGGCTGTTGCAGCCATTTGGGGAGTTAACCAGCGGATGGAAGAGCTCTCTGCCTCTGCCTCTCTGTAATTCTGCCTTTCTTTTTTTTTGACAGGCAGAGTGGATAATGAGAGAGAGAGACAGAGAGAAAGGTCTTCCTTTTGCCGTTAGTTCACCCTCCAATGGCCGCCACGGCTGGCACGCTGCGGCCTGCGCACCGTGCTGATCCGATGGCAGGAGCCAGGTACTTCTCCTGGTCTCCCATGGGGTGCAGGGCCCAAGCACTTGGGCCATCCTCCACTGCCTTCCAGGGCCACAGCAGAGAGCTGGCCTGGAAGAGGGGCAACCGGAAAAGAATCCGGAGCCCCGACCGGGACTAGAACCCGGTGTGCCGGCACCGCAAGGTGGTGGATTAGCCTAGTGAGCCGCGGCGCCGGCCTGTAATTCTGCCTTTCAAATAAAATAAATACATTTTTAAAAAAATTCATGTATTTTAATAAAGCGGACTACATAAAAAGGTACTTCCCAAGATTCTTATTTCAGAATGGAAACTAAATTAATCAAAATTGATTCTGAAGAATCTTATCTTTATAGTGCTCTTAGCATAAGACAAATGCACTTCTAGAGTGCTTTTGTCATTCCTTCATTCCCTTATTCCACAATCAATTAATAAATGTCTACTAGACAAAGAGTACCATTTAGGCAGTTTGCGAGTTATAAAGATACATGTGAAGTGCTTTTTTCTTTTTTTTTTCTTTTTTTTAAGATTTATTTTACTTATTTGAAAGTCAGAGTTACACAGAGAGAGGAGAGGCAGAGAGAGGGAGACAGAGACAGAGAGAGAGAGAGAGAGAGAGAGAGAGAGAGAGAGGTCTTCCACCCACTAGTTCACTCCCCAGATGGTCGCAATGGCTGGAGCTGTGCCAATCCAAAGCCAAGAGCCAGGAGCTTCTTCCAGGTCTTCCACATGGGTGCAGGGGCCCACAGACTTGGGCCATCTTCTACTGCTATCCCAGGCCATAACAGAGAGCTGGATCAGAAGAGGAACAGCCAGGACTAGAACCGGCACCCATATGGGGTGCTGGCGCTTCAGGCCAGGGCTTTAACCCACTGCGCCACAGCACCGGCTCCTGAAATGCTTATTTCACAATATCAGACTCACTGTTTTCACTCAAGAAACATCAGCTTCGGGCCGGCGCCGTGGCTCACTAGGCTAATCCTCTGCCTGCGGCACGGGCACACAGGGTTCTAGTCCCAGTTGGGGCACCGGATTCTGTACCGGTTGCTCCTCTTCCAGGCCAGCTCTCTGCTGTGGCCCGGGAGTGCAGTGGAGGATGGTCCAGGTCCTTGGGCCCTGCACCCACATAGGAGACCAGGAGGAAGCACCTGGTTCCTGGCTTCGGATCAGTGCAGTGCACCGACCACAAGGTGCTGGCCGTAGTGGCCACTTGGGGGGTAAACCAACGGAAAAAGTAATACCTTTTTCTCTCTCACTGTCTAACTCTGCCTGTCAAAAAAAAAAAAAAAAAAAAGAAAAGAAAAGAAACATCAGCTATAAGATAAAGAAAACCTAGGTGGCCAGCGCTGTGGCACACTGGGTTAAAGCCCTGTCTGAAGTGCTGGCATCCCATATAGGTGCTGGTTCAAGTACCGACTGCTCCACTTTGGATCCAGCTCCCTGCTAATGTGCCTGGGAAAGCATCAGAAGATGGCCCAAGTCCTTGGGCCCCTGCATCCATGTGGGAGACCCAGAGGAGGCTCCTGGCTCCTGTATTTGGATCAGCTCAGCGCCAGCCGTTGTGGGCATTTGGGGAGTGAATCAGTGGATGGAAGATCTCTCTCTTTCTCTGTCTCTATTTCTCTCTGTAACTCTGTCTTTCAAATAAATAAAAAAGAGAAAGAAAATCTAAAAGTTTCCTTTTAGTGAGAGATTGTTTTTTGCATTTTGCATATTAAGAAATGGGTTCTGAAGGATTAAGTTATTTTCAAATATAACAACACTGGCAAGTCATAAAACTGTGACAAAAAGTTCAATGTCATCTTCTATTGCACTAAAAAATAAGAGCAGCAAACTCATATTTCAATGGGGGGAGGGGACAACCAACAAAGGACATCAAAAGGGTATGACTAAGGTTTCCCATAATCAGATTTATAAGACTATTTAAGACAAGGTAAAATACTCTCCCTAAGAAATGAAATAAAAATTTAGTGACAACTATGTATCAATAGTTTTCTCACATTAATTCACATTAAGCCCATGTGATAAGTCAATCTCAAAATCTATTTTATTCTTTCTACTCATTAGTCCTCCTTTTTCCCTACTTCCCACCTAAAGCCAGAACACTCAAAGGCTTGTCAAACTTTGTTGGCTTTCTACACCTTGAATCAAACTAGTATTAACATTCATCAAAATACATCCATACACATTGCAGACATCACACAAAGTGCTCAAATGGTACATAAGTGAATTTTTGCCAGTCTGCCCCATCATGATAGGGAAGTATCTATGTATGCAATATCTATGTAGTTAAGGAGGTCTCCTTTCTCTTTATTCACAAACAACTTTACAATTTGCCTTGTGAATTATGAAAACATAAAGAAACATAAAAGTTTAAGAGTTTTTTCAGAACTTTTAAATTATCAATAAGAAAAGAAGTAAAACAAAAAAAGTCCGGTTTTTCCAAAGCTGCCTTACTTTACCAAAATATATTTCAACTCTCAGGAATCAGTTATCACAAAGAATTCACGGAGCATGTTGGTAATAAGAAAGCACAGGCAGTAGCAACAGCTATAGTAGAGAAGGAGATATTTGTTGACCACTTTTTTCCAGTTAGCAACTTACTGCATTTTGGTGCCAAATACATATTTCAATACCTGCTCTGCAATAATGGAGAGAATTCCTTCACCATTTCTCCTTCATGGAGAGCATGGTTCTAGGCTGAGAGTTTGGGAGCATGCAGGATGAAGGATCTTCTCAATGGGAATACAGAGAACATGTAACTGTGCTTGGCCCCAGCAACATGCACAGTCCCCTGGCTACCCTGCTGTCCTAGCCATTCTGTAGACCACTTTCCCTCGCCTTCTCCACATAGGCACCACATACTCTAGCCTTGTAACCAGTGCTCCAGCTTCCTCTACAAACTATGCCTGCCCACCTTCTGGCCAAGAGCTGGAGACCCAGACTGGCCAAAGCAAGCTGCCACCTGCAAGGCTGTAATTAGTTCTTTCAACAAAGTCTGAACCCCAGGCTCACAGAAGAGGTCATCTTACAAATTTTGTCATTGCTTGGAAATAATTCCCAAAGTTCCAGGGTACCCTTTATACTTTATATTTTTAGAGTTACTCTTTTATCATAGCTTAGTAATTCATTATGTTAAAATTCTACCTTTTTAAAATCGCTTTATGGTTTAAGTCTCCTGATACACTCTTGAAGTCAGATCTGAGTTCAAATCTGACCAGTTTATATTCTTAAGCTAGTAAAGTACTTAAGTGATCTGAGCCTAAAGGACTATACCCACAAAATGGAAAACTACCACTTGATACATTACAGAGTCATTATTAAGATTTAATGGGAGCCGACGCCGCGGCTCAACAGGCTAATCCTCCACCTGCAGTGCCGGCACACTGGGTTCTAGTCCCAGTTGGGGCGTGGTGCGCTGGCCGCAGCGCGCCGGCCGCAGCGGCCATTGGAGGGTGAACCAACGGCAAAGGACAACCTTTCTCTCTGTCTCTCTCTCTGTCCACTCTGCCTGTCCAAAAAAAAAAAAAAAAAAAAGATTTAATGGGATGGGGGCTGGCGCTGTGGCACAGCAAGTTGTTGCCCTAACCTGAAGCACTAGTATCGCATATTGGCCCTGGTTTGAGACCCAGCTGCTCCACTTCAGATCCAGCTCTCTGTTGTGGCCTGGGAAAGCAGTAGAAGATGCCCCAAGTCCTTGGGCCTCGGAACCTACATGGGAGACCCGGAAGAAGCTCCTGGCTCCTGGCTTTGGATTGGCACAGCTCCAGCCGCTGAGGCCAACTGGGGAGTGAATTAGCAAATGGAAGACCTCTCTTTCTCTCTCTGCCTCTCCTCTCTCTGTGTAACTCTGAATTTCAAATAAATAAATAAATCTTTAAAAAAAAAAGATTTAATAGGATTAAAGGTATAAAGGCAAATGCAGATATTTAATAAACAGCTTTTCCTCCTTCCCTACCCTATTTGCAGCCTTGTTGCCATTTACTCTATGCCAAGAAGATAGAAAGAACCAATAAAAAAAAGTGTGTATGTCAGAACATCTTAAATAGAAGAAAAGAACGGTCAAGAGCAGACATGCTCTAAGGCACATGCCCAACATAATTATGACATCAACCTTCCAGCATCTGTCTCCTTGAAAATCCCATCCTGATTAGGACATAGTTCACAGCTAGGAGAAACACCACATTTACAGGCATCACAAAACCAAGGTTCAGTGGAGTTCTCAGAAGCTGAACTCATAATGGAGTCACTCTCTCCATCAACTCCATAACAACCTAAAAAAGAAAAAAAAGTATGATTAAACATGACTATTTTTTTAATTCATACTTATAAAATCAGAAAAGAAAAAGGAGAGAAAAGGGAGATACAAAAGTGATATTAAAACAAAGAAGTGATACTGCCATATAAAAATATCTTTCACCTAGTAGAGTATACAGAATGAAATGATATTTCAAGACAGTTTTAGACCAAGAGGAAAGGCACTAAATGAATGAAAAAGTTTATAATTTCCTAAAAATTACAATTTGAAAAAAATATTAAAATATGATTTATCAATAAAAAGAAATTAGAATAATACAGTATTGATCAATAAATATTTATTGAGCTCTTTAGAACCAGGTACCAGAATACATATAAATACCAAGTTAATGCAAAGCAAATATACAAACAAAAAAAGCAAAGCATTTCATCTAATTTTGAAGATTGACAGTTATAATACAGACTCATATAACTATAAAAGCAAAGTATGCCTTGGGCCAGCACTGTAGCACAGTGGGTTAAAAGCCCTAGACAACAGGGCCAGCATCCCATATGGGTGCCGGTTCAAGTCCTGGCTGCTTTGCTTCTGATCCAGCTCTCTGCTAGTGCATCTGGGAAAGCAGCAGAAGTCCTTGGGTCTCTACACCCACGTGGGAGACCCAGAAGAAGCTCCTCGCTCCTGGCTTCAGATCTGCTCAGCTCTAGCCTTTGCAGCCACTTGGGGAGTGAACCAGTGGGTGGAAGACCTATCTCTCTCTGTCTCTTTCTCTGTTTCTACCTCTCTCTCTTTCAAATAAATAAAATAAATCTCTAAAGTTTTTTTTTTTTTTTTTTGACAGGCAGAGTGGACAGTGAGAGAGAGAGAGAGACAGAGAGAAAGGTCTTCCTTTGCCGTTGGTTCACCCTCCAATGGCCGCCGCGGCCGGCACGCTGCGGCCAGCACACTGCGCTGATCCAATGGCAGGAGCCAGGTACTTCTCCTGGTCTCCCATGGGGTGCAGGGCCCAAGCACTTGGGCCATCCTCCACTGCACTCCCGGGCCACAGCAGAGAGCTGGCCTGGAAGAGGGGCAACCGGGACAGAATCCGGCGCCCCGACCAGGACTAGAACCCGGTGTGCCGGCGCTGCAAGGTGGAGGATTAGCCTAGTGAGCCGCGGCACCGGCTCTAAAGTATTCTTAAAAAGAAAACAATACAGAAACACACATGCACACATAAATTAAAGCTGCAGAAGAATATGAAAAGTTCAGGACAGAGTGAGACAAGCTGAGTTCCACTCAAAACTGAGGCATTTAATCTCTTCTTAAATGTATAATTCCTGTTTTCCGTGAGAATTTTTCTAAAACTAAAATTGATGAAAACAAGAGGTAATTCTCTTTTTCCTCTTCTTATTCACAAGGTTTGATATTTTGAGATGAGTCAGTTAAATTATTGAGGTGGAATATGTGATAAAAATCTTCAAAGGTCTCAGGAACATACCCAATAAATAAGATAATTCAATATAGTTCTTCACATTTCAGAGCAGGACGTGATATACCCCAAATCAATTCCCTTCCAATTGTCAAAAGCAAAAAGTTGCCATAACTCACATATACATTTTAGGAATTCCAAATTCCATGTAAAGTTATTATTTGGTCTCCCAAATCTGCCTAAAATTCTTACAAATAAAAAAAAACATTTTCCTTAATCGTGAGCTTAATAGATTTCAAAGACATTAAGAGAATCAAAAATTCAGGCAAGAATTTACTATGCACTCCTCTGTAAGATCCAAGTTATCATCAAATTCTTGAAGTTCTATTTTGTCTAAAAACTTGGTATTAATGAGGCTCTCAATGCCAGTCCAACAAAACTCACTAGGTGATGCCACATCTATCATCACGATTAACTCCTGCTCAGCATTAACGTATCAAAAAGTCAGTATTAGCACCAATAAGTCATTAACAAATATGGACGCCAATAAGCAGTAATTGGGAAGTTCTAAGAGAAATTCTTCCAGACTATAAGAAGAACCTTTCTAAACTACTGAAGGCTTACAACACAGAGTATGTCTCCAGCAACTAAAAGAGCCATGAATCCTAACCATTTCCTTTCCCCCAGATGGTGTTAGACACACACCAACTTCAAATTATCCAGTTTTCCTTCTAAAAAGAATGATACTGCCCTTTTGTCAAAACATCTTTCAGAGAAATAATTTAATTTATATGTCATAATGAAACAGACTGCAACTTAATTCTATCCCTGATGCACACCCTCATCACCTTTACGTTGGGGCATTTCTCGGATCTAAAACTTAACATATCCTCTCAACAAAGGTCACTTGTAAAGAAAACCAAATATGAACCATTCCAGATACTTCTGACTAGATTTATTCCAAGAGGAAATTCTTAGTGCCTAATTCTAAGGGGCATCCAAAGTGATCCTTAATAAACTTAGGACATTTAAAAAGCCACTAAGAGAAATATTATCAGTGATGATCATCTCTCAAAAAGTTTTACCATGGCCGGCACCGCAGCATAGTGGGTGACGCCACTGCCTACAGTGCTGGCATCCAATATGGGTGCCAGTTTGAGTTCTGGATGCTCCACTTCCAATCCAACTCTCTGCTATGGCCTGGGAAAGCAGTAGAAGATGGCCCAAATCCTTGGGTCCCAGAACCCATATGGGAGACCTAGAAGAAGCTCCTGGCTCCTGGCTTTGGATCGGCCCAGCTCCAACAATTGTAGCCACTGGAGAGGGAACCAGCAGATGGAAGACCTCTCTTTCTCTCTCTCTCTCTATTTGCCTCGAACCCTCTGTAACTTGGCCTTTCAAATAAATAAATAAATCTTTTAAAAAAAATTAGCACATGGGAAATTTAATTGCAACCCACATTAGATCATGTGATTATCAGATTTTATACTAAACAGACAACAGGAACCTGAATTGGAGAATAAATTTTCTTTTTTAAGATTTATTTATTTATTTGAAAGACAGAGTTACAGAGAGGCAAAGGTAGAGAGAGAGGTCTTCCATTTGACTGTTCACTCCCCAGATGGCCACAACGGTTGAACCTGTGCCGACTAGAAGCCAGGAGCCAGAAACCTCCTCTGGGTCTCCCACGAAGGTGCAGGGGCCCAAGGACTTGGGCCATCTTCTACTGCTTTCCCAGGCCATAGCAGAGAGCTGATCAGAAGTAGAGCAGCAGGGACTCAAACTGGCACCCACGTGGGATGCCAGCATCGTAGGCGGTGGCTTCACCCACTATGCCACAGCACTGGCTCCTGGAGAATAAATTTTAATAACCACCCAAAAAAACTAAAATTAAAATAAATTACAATATAAGTAAATACTGAGCCAAATAAATAACCTAAGAAAATAATCATATACAGCTAATAAATAATTTTAAATTATGAACATTAATTCAATTAGATGTCTTTGTAGGTCAATAGTTATATATATTTTAATCACATGATATTATTCTTCAACATAGATCATATTTAACATAAACTAATAGGCAGAAAACTAAATTGTGATTTATACAAAATGCCTCAAGCAAATCCTTAAGTATTATTTTCCTTTTGCTACTCAAAGGTTTTATAATAGTAAACTTTGATCCAAATTAAGTTATCAAAAGGAATGCCAAAGATTTTAAAATAACTAGATTATAGTATGAAAGATAAGCAAAGGAACCAAAAACTCATTAATTTCCCTAATGCCATTAAATTGTAGTTGTCAATCTTTGTTCTATTCAGATATATATTTTTTAATGTGAAATCATAAAGTTAAAAGAAAAGTGGCCACAGCTGTGGCACAGCAGGTTAAACTGCCATCTGCAGTGTCGACATCCCATATGCACACCAGCTCAAGTTCTGGCTACTCCACTTCCAATCCAGCTCTCTGCTAAAGCACCTGGGAAGGCACTGGAAGATGGCCCAAGTCCTGAGTGCCTGTTCCCACATGGGAGACCTGGAGAAAGCTCCTGGCTCCTGGCTTCAGATCAGCCCAGCTACAGCTATTGCAGCCATTTGGGGAGTGAAGCAACAAATGGAAAGAGCTCTCTCTCTCTGTCTCTGCCTCTCTCTTTTTCTCTGTAGTTCTGCCTTTCAAATAAGTAAATAAATCTTAAAGAAATACATTTTCCTTCTTAAGAGTTATTATTATTACCAATAAACACTCTTACTGTAAACAGGCAAAATGTCATACTTAGTCATAGTGGTGGGTGTTTGGTACAGCAGCTGGGGCACTGCTTAGGATGCCCACATCCCATGTCAAAATGCCTGGGTTCAAGTCTCAGCCCCACTTCCAGTTACAGCTTCTTGTTAATGCACACCCTGCGAGGCAGAAGCTGATACCTAAAGTCCTTGGGTGCCTGCTTTTGTTGGAGACCTGGACTCCATTCTGGGCTTCTGGCTCTGGCCTAGTCCAGTCCCTTGCTGTGTTGGCATGTGGAGAGTGGACCATAGAGGGAAGACCTCTAGATTTCTGTCTGTCTTTCTCTGTCTCTCTTTCTCTCTCTGCCTTTCAAATAAATAAAATACATTTTTAAAGAAAAAAATCATAAAAGAAACATAATCTATTTTCTTATGGGCTATTCAGCACCACAGAGGGAAAAATCTATTTTCTTTCCAAATCTTTCTTTGACACAAATCTTTCTAAACTTGATAAAATCTAAATTCACACAAAGCAGGTAATTACCCAAATAAAGCCCCCATGAGGCTATCCAACTTATTAACTTCATTCAGCAAAATCAAAAGGTAATTTTTAGAATAAAACAAAATTTCTATCCTTCTTTTAAAGAATATACCACACACATGGCATACATTTGCATAAGTTTTAATCCAAACAACCTTAGGAACAATTTTTCAGCTCCATCTGTAGAAATGCCTCCTTTGTAACTTAGAAGAATGGTACTGTGTAAGCTCAAGGGAGAACCAGCAAGTGGGTGAGTGCTGCTTCCTTAGCTTCGCTAGCCCTGGAAAGTGATTCCCATGGTGTCATTATCTTTAGAGTCTTTACCTGTAACTTTCACTTGCCTCTTC